GGGCCCGTGGGGCCTGCGGGGCCGGGGCCGTTGGCGGGGCCTGTTCCTCTCGGGGCTGGCATCGCTCGCCTCCCACTGTTTAATCTCATCGAGCGGTGTGCTCACAATTTCACGTTATTTCTTGCGAGGCCATTATCTTTGCTGAGGTTTTTTGTTTCTCACTTGGCCTCGTTGTTTCTAGAGCGTCGCCTTCCCGCAGGTTTCGAGCCACCTGCGATAAGGGGGGTGCTTCCGATTTCAGTAACAACAAAACCAGATTAACTGAAGGGCTGCCTTTCATGTTGAGCATATTTCTGTTCAACTTTCAGGCGATGCACTGCAAAGAGTCTTTATTTCATTTCAGTCCAGTGAAAATGAGGCCGAGGTACCAGATGGAATGTATTTCTTCTCTTTTCAGCCGTTTCCAAGGGTGGAAATCTCTGCCCTCTGATACCCACATGGCTGCCCTTGGGTCTGGTCTAATGGCACTTTGGGGAGATGCCTGCGCTCTCTAACAGCATCTCCATTATCATGACCTCCTTCATTCTGCTTTATTTCCTTCGTGGCACCTATGATTATATCCTATCCTATGTTTACTGGCTTATCGACCTCCCCACACCAGAATGTGAGCTCCACGAGACAGAGACCTGGCCGCCTCTGTTCAGGGCCCCGTCCCCACTGGGAACAGCGCCTGGAACAGAGAAAGCGCTCGCTAACCGCGCATCGGCTGCGTGAATGAGGAATTTTCTGATGAACTCTGTCTCTACATTATATCACTATTCAGTACATTTCTTATAATGAACCCAGTAAGCATTTATCCCTTTAGCAGTTAATCTTTCCACACTGTCTCTACATTATTATTCATCCAGTATTTACTGAGCTCCTATTATGTGCCAGGCACTGTGCCAGGTGCTGGGGGATCCTGTGGCAAATGAGACAGGCTATGCCTCGTAATTTTTTTAAAAATTGATTTTTAGAGGGAGAGGAAGGGAGAGAGAGAGAGAGAGACAGAAATATCGATGGATGGGTTGCTTCCTGCACGATCCCTACTGAGGATGAAGCCTGAAACCCGGGCGTGTGTCCTGACCACAGCTGGACCAGCAACCTTTCAGCGCACGGGTTGACACCCAACCAACTGAGCCACACTGGCCAGGGCAATTTTTGGTTTTTCTCTCAACAATGACAATGATCTCCCATTTCTAAACTCAGCACACACTTATTAAAAACTGACTCTGTGCCAAGCACTGAGTGAATCTCGTTTCATCCATTATCTTTCTCAGATCTCACAATAATCCTATGAAGCTGATAATATTAAAGTGTTTCAACGTTTCTTTCCCATAAGCATGCAGCTTATGGGCAATAAATAAAACAACAAAATTAACTTGTCAAAGCCTCATAGAGGCTTCCAGAGAGCGGCACACGGAACAACTGCATGGAACGGGGGCAGCGCCCGGCAAAGACCCCCAACCCCCCCACCTGTCCCCCGGAGGCTCCTGATGCCCTTTTCCCATTAAGCGCACCTTTGCCTCAATTCACAGATTTGTTTAGCGACTGTCTTGTCTCCCAAGGCTTCTACCCAGAAGAAATGCAGACTCACGTGGTCACAGGGCTTTAAGACACATTTGAACATGACGCCAACATGTTCATATAGAATCGCCTTTTCCGCTCACACCCAGCACTGCTCCTTCGTGAGAAGGGACTTTGAGACGCCTTAGTGGTTTTTGATTCATTTTAAAGACAATGAAATTGATGGTCAGAGAGGTTAAGAAACTTACTCATGGCAAGTAAGTGGCCGGTTCAGGATCCATACCTAGGTCTTTCTCCCGAACCCATGTTTTCTTCCACTGAGCTGTGCCCACTCCAGTGGGCCCTTTTCACCCACTGAGGCCTCTGCCAACTTGCCTTTTATATTCTCCCTGAAGGCAGAGTCTCTAACCCGGGAGACAGCAGATCTGGGTTCTAGTCCTGATTCTGCTCATAATTTATTATGTGACCTTGGGTTGTGTGTCTCCTCTCTGGCCTTCCTTTTCCTCGCCTGCAAAATGAGAGGGGAAAGATAAGCATTTTCACATTTAAAAAAATAGCCCCTTTCTTCAAAATGACATCACGTTAGGAACACAGCACGCGAAAACCCAGCGCAGGGGAACACGAGCTTCTCTAGCTGAACCTGGCGGTGGCCCTCCCAACCCACTGGGGATCGTCAGGGAACCTGTGAGCCTCCCAAATTATGTGCTGGATTGTGCGTGCACAGTTTTCATCAGTTTCAGAGGTGTCTGTGATCCCCATTAAAAAGCAATGATGATGATGGTGGTGGTGGTAGTGACACCAATCATAGCCGACATGTGCCGGGGGCCATGCTAAGCTCTTTCTGTGCATTACTCAGTCCATCCTTGCCACACCCTGATGAGCAGGGAATAGTGACAGAATCTCCATTTCATAGATGAGACAACAGAGGAACAGAGTGGTCAAGTACGTCGCGGAAGGTTGCACAGCTAATACATGCTTTTCTACACACCTCCTAGCTTTTTATAAGGACCACCAGCCTACTCTCTTTGGTTAAACTTTATACACTCAGAAAACATTATATTGTTTCCTATGGGATGCTGATTTACATGAACAGTGATGATTTGCATTCAAGTTGTTGTACGTTTTAACCAGGACACGGCTTAGCTCTGATTTCCCCTGTGCTGTCCAGGTTGGTCTCTGCCAGAGTTCACACCTTCTCCAGGCTCTTGGACAGTGTTTTTCAGAAGTTGGTCTGGGGACTTCCCCTTGGGATCACCTGGGAAGCTACAGGTCACCTGTGATCTGAATCAGGGTCCCTGGGGTGTGTCTGTGTATATGTGTGTGCATTTTTCATAAACTTGAGCACATAGAGAGGTTGGAAGGTTCCCATTATGAACTCCCACGGGCTGACTTCTCTGCCCCAGGACAGCCTTTGTGGAGAGGGTGTGTGCATGAGAAAGGGGGGGAGGTCATGTTATCCAGCTCTGCACTGAGCTTTGTGCTAAACACAGGATTTGCTATTTGAGGGCAGGGACTTTGTCTGTCTTGATGAATTCCTACTGATATAATAAATAATCTTTGGTACATGGTCGGCCATTATTTATTGAAGAAGTGACTGACTGGCTGATTGAATGATGAATGAATGAATGGCTGGAAGGGTTTTAAGTGGTTGTAGAATTGCAAATAGATCACAATGGGATAAGATTGCAGGCTGTTGGGCAGGCTGCTAGGAGGCTAACTTGGGACCCAAGCTTGAGATGATGGTGGCGTTGGCCTTGGTGGTAGTGAGGAGTGGACAGAGAAAGTGGATAGAGAGGGGCTTGGAAGGGCAATAGCTCCAGGACTTGATGAGCAGGGGGCAGAGGGACAGGCAGGAATCAGAGGTGGTCTCCAGTTTTGACTTGGACAACCGGCTGTCCAGGGCATTGTGGGAGCACTTGGCACAGCACACATAACTCCGGTCTCCTTGCCATGGGCCCTTCAGAGGATGGCATGGTTTTTGCCTGGCTCTAGGCTTTGGCATATGCTGTTCCTTCAGCCTGGAAGGCCTCTCCTGTCCCTTCTGTACCTGGCCAACCGTCTCTGTCCTGAAGGGCTCAGGTCAACTATCACTTTCTGCATCAGTGCCTCACTGTCACTCCCACCTGCTCGCCAGGTGTCCCTCCTCTGGCTCCACAGGCCCTGGCCTCCCCACTGCTGGTGCCAACCACACGGATCTTTTGGTATCTACTTGCTTTTCTGTGTGGTGTGCCTAACACAGTGTCTGGAACATGGCAGGCCCCCAGCACATGTTGGTAGAGGGAATGAAATACTGTCGCGGGGGAGGCTGCAAGGGGTGTTTCAGAGGCAAGATCTCCAGGGTAAAGAAGGCCCGCGGAGCCCACATCAAGAGAACGATCCCCTTTCCTAATTCCGGACAGTGCTGGTTATACAGACCACAGTGGGCAGGCCGCTAATGTCGCATGCACAGTTGCATTCTGCTGGATCGTCATTACAGAGGGTCATCGTCATGTGCACGTGCAGGATGGTCGGGGTCATGGACGGGACACCGAGACCTATCAGCCCTTACCCCACACACCTGACAAATACATTTACAGCCCTGTGTCGCCGAACAAGAACCGCACGTTTTAAATTCCGTGAATGACCTCGGATGTAGTGGGATTCCTTTGTACCAACTGTCACGGGAGGAATCACGATGGGAGGCTCAGGAGCCCGGCTGTCACCTACCCTAGGAGGCCAATTTCTCTCTCTTTTGACACCAGTGTTACAGATTTCCGATTGGAGACCTGAGGCTGAGACTCTGCTGGGCCACTCGTGTGCTGCGTGGCCCTGAGCTAGGCAGTGCCCGCTCTGGGCTTGGGCCCGCTCCGTGAAGTAAAGCAGTTGGACTACGCACAGGGCTGAGACAACGTGCGGGGCCCACAGGCGCGGGCACCTTCTAAGTGCAGTTCGTGCATTGGCTCACTCAGCCCTACGCAACCCTGCGGCGTGGGCAGGGTTTCCCATATTCTTAACAGGGAAACCGAAGCACAGGGTGGCTACGTACCTTGCCCCAAGTCTCCCAGCTAGTAGCAGGTGGGGCTGGGCTTTTACCCAGCGATCTGTTTCCAGAGCCCACCTCTTGACCCCAAAGCCGCCCGGCCTCTCAGCGATGATCTGTGACAAGACCCACTCCTGCGTGCCACGGGAGCCCTACCTTTCTCTGCAGAGGACGCTTGTGGTGCCTCCAGAGCCCGGAGGATCCTTACTTGTGGTGCCTCCAGAAGTTCTCAGCCTTTGGCTCTGCCCCTAGAGAGAGGAAGCTGG